TTTTTACTTTAAATTGATTTATTATTTGTAGAATGCGTACAGATACATCTTGAAGACTATACAGACCAGCTTGTTTCCGTCAATGTTTTCCAGTATTTCAATCTGTACTTGGAGGTGAGTGCATTCAATGAGTTAAAAAATGATTTCTCAGGGTAGAGTGGTTTCCATAAACCCATGAAATGAAATATCAGTCGACTAATACACTTTTTTCTACTAATACACTCGCCCCACGCCTAAAATACTTGTCCAATCTGACTAAAAAATATTCTTCAAAAATCTATAAAATTTTCAGATTTTGAGGAAATCGAATTCTGACTTAGGGAATGAATTCAAGACATCTTCAAGATTTAGCCACAATTTTTGTCATTTTAGGAGTTATAAGCACTTTAAGGATTTGTATTATTTTGTATTATTGATCTGGACAGGTATTCAAAGGTATAAGGATTTACCGTACAGAAACCAAGGAAGAAACTCAAGAATTTCTCTCAAGATTCAACGTGCAAAATAGTGAGTTCTGAAGCAAAAAAACCCACAGTTTTATTTGGCCTGTGTTAGCTAAGCATGTGAGGACATGCCCTTTCACCATTCATTGGTTCCTTAAGTATACTTAACTTGCAGGATAAAATCATGATCATTCAATGAATGGTATTAAAATGTAATAATGGTGTTTCTATAATTGAAATGCCATGGTAATAATTTTTTTGTCCATTTATTAACATATGCCTCTTAATGTCAAAAAAATTATTGGTTCCTTAAGTATAAAATCATGATCATTCAATGAATTATGGTATTAAAATGTAATTGGTGTTTCCTATGATTGAAATGCCATAATGGCAATTTATTTTTTGTGTGTCCATTTATGAACACATGGCTCTTGATATCAAAAAATTGTACACGTTATGTACTAATTTGGTAAGTGATATTTTCAGATGTTGTTGCTATGATGGCTCACGTTGATGATAATAACGATAACAATGATGGCAATGGTGTTAATGATAATCCTCAAGATGAAAAGATTGCTGAAAGGTAAGCATTTCTGATAATGACAGTGGTTATGCAGAGTATTACATTGTGTGATTATGCAGCATTTCCTTTTAAGGCTTTGTAATGCCCTTGCATTGATAAGAAACCCTCATTGAGCTTTCAGTGATATCTTGTGCGAATTCACGACTTTCCATATGCAGGTTCAGTGACCACGAACAAAGCATTGAACCGAGGCATCAAGGAACACTGATCACAGATCTTTTGTTTTATGTTCACTGTACCTTGATGCCTCAGTTCATTGCTTTGTTTATGGTCCCTGAACCTGAGTATGGAATATCGTAAATAACTTATTATCCTGGCAGTGAATAAAAGATATATCATTGTTTTGAATCATGCTTTCTTGCACAACTACATATAAATATACCAGAATAATAGCGGTCAGGTACGAAGTTATCCTAAATTACACTAATACATATGCACTTACAAGGTGATAGCATAGTGGCTTGAGCGTCGTTCTGAGGCACTAGCCACAAAAATGCTGCAGGAAACTGTGAAGAAGACTATGACTCATTCTTTACCAAGGGTTTAAATTAAAGAATCATAACCATCCGCTGTGCCTTGCAAACTGAAGCGCCATTTTATGTGGATACGAAAATGGCAGATTTGTAGGATTTCTTAAAGTGAGCGCAAATCGTCTTCCGTCCTTTCAGTTTGGACAGAAATACCTTTAACTACATGTAAGTACCTCACAGGTACTATCAATCTATAATTTATTGTATGCTTGACGCATTTAAACGTATGTAAACAATAATGCGAGCGCGCAAGGTACGACGGGTGGTTGTGATTCTTTAAATGACCACATCACACTTACCCTGGGAACCAGAGGCTGGATTTACTCGTTTTTGTAGTTTATATACGGCGCGAAACCGGTTTTGATTTTCAACCAATAATATCGCTCTGATATCAACGGACCAATCAGCTGCAACATTCAGATCTTGAATGTAAACACTGACATGGAAGTGAGATTTGCTATCCGTGCCGCCAGAGGCTGGTTTACGGTTCGGCCTTCGGCCTCAAGGACGGCGCTTCGCGCTGTATATAAACTACAAGAACGAGTAAATCCAGCCTCTGGTTCCCAGGGTACATCACACTATAAATTATACTATCAAGAGTCAGTATGGTACAGTGTATAATCAGTAATTACCAATTTATTTGAGTGAAGGGCTCATTATAACTATAGTAAATCAGTAAACTTCATTATCTTGCTTTTAGAATGGATGATGATCTCACATTTGCTAATGATTCACAAGAGGAACAGTTCATGCTAGAGCAGGTAATTTGTCTAGTGCAGACTGTGTACTGATTAGACAAAAATGGTGGAAAATAGCATTAAACTAGTGTGAGCTGCGTCGGTGTTTCTAAAGAAACAGTTGAGTGTTTCTAAAGAAACAGTTGAGAAAAAAGATAAATTTAACACCGTAAAAAAGTAGATGAAACAACTTTCTGACGTTTTGGATGTCAATCCTTTGTCGGATTAAAAAGGATGAAGGATTAACGTTTGAAATGTCAGTAAGTTGTTTCACCTTGTACTTTTTTTTGCTTTATAAAATTTATCTTTTTTACACAACTGTTTTGCTAGACAAAAAACAACATGTTTCATTATTTTGTTCTTTATTTTTGTAGGCTTTACAACAGAGTCTTGCTGAAGATAACATTCCTAACACACAATCCACAACTAGTGGAGAAACAAGTACTGTGACCTACCATGAACAGAAACCAAGAAGTTCARCACTTGCAGCTCTACCAACAAATAAACACATGCCAAAAAACAACAGTGACCCTCATGTGCAAAACACAACCGGTGGAGCAAAAAATACTTACCCCGAACAGCAAACCTCTTCACTTGTAGGTTTACCTAAAGAATGTACAAACAATCTACCAAACAACAGTGCTGCTTCTAATCATCTAAATTCATTACCAAAGGATGCCAAGGTCAAAAGGCAAATGACTGAAGAAGAATATGAACTCCAAAGTATTTTGCAATTCAAGCTTTATGATGAAATACAAAGTAGCCTTCAAGAGAACCAAGATGGACCACCAGACAATGATTATAGTGACTCCCAGGATGATGAATTGAAGRAAGCWCTGGAGCAAAGCCGACTTCAGTATGAAGACAGTCAAAAAGATGCAGAAAAAATGAATGTTGATCAAGTTAGTGAAGAAAGAAGGSATGATAAGCTTTCTGAAGATGAGCAGCTACAGAGRGCTTTACAAGAAAGTCAGCAGGAGTATATTAGRCAACAAAARAATCATCAGGCTAAAAAAGAAACCAGAAAAATGAGCAGAGATGATAAATTGAAGACAGCTTTGAAAGATGATGAACAACTGCAGAAAGCTTTAGAAGAAAGCAGASAACAGAGTGTTGCAAGAGGCAATCCTCAAGAAAACAGAGTAGCTAGAATTGCAGACAACAGCGATGAATTAAAGACAGGTTCCGAGGATGGTGAACTWCAGAAAGCTTTACAAGAAAGCAGGAGGCATTATGARGCTCAACAAAGAAGAGTACAAGCAAGTRRAGCTGATGTACATGAGGAAAACAGGTCAGAATTAGCCAAAGGAGAGYYACCAGYARATGAAGAATTKAAGAAAGCTCTGGAGGAAAGTAGGAAACAACATGAAAGACAGCAAAGAATTGCAAAATTTGAAAGCAAAGCAAAGCAATCCAAGGAAGGCAACCATGCCACCAGGCATCCATCAAGTGTAAATTCAGTTGGTTTAGATACATCTTTTTCCAAGAAAGAATTGACTTCTAAACCTAAAGGCAAAACAACTACATCTRCAYTGCCTGGTAGGGTTGMTACCAGAGCTTCTGCTGACAMTCACRAAGATCAATACAGGGAGAACTTYGATGATGAGATGGAAAAAGCAYTACAGGAAAGTAGACAAGAATATGAGGTACGGAAAACCAAAGAAAAGGTAGAATATGAGAACTATGATGAAGAAGAAGCTCTGCGGMAAGCYCTTGAGCTAAGTAGAAAGGAAATGGAAAATGAAAAGATGAGAAAGGAAGAGAAAAGTGGGAATTCTTGTACTGATCCAGTAAAGGACTCATTGGATATGAATGATAATGAAACGGCTGAAGAAAATGATTCAAAAATTGAAAGAATGGAAATTGAAACTGAGCAAATTGGGTTAACAGAAAATAATGTCAGGAAAGAGAATAATTTAGTGGATAGCAATTCTAATGACTCTCAAAGAAGRGAAGAGCAAGAAGATTTTATTGAGGARACTCAAGAARACAATACAACCCAAGAAAATCCTGAAATATTTTTTGATTTTGAAGTCCCAGACTTTGTTCATGATAATGTGAATGCWGGTGATAWTTTACCAGACAAAACTGACATGACTTCAACTCCTAAGACTTCCAATTTCATAAAGTCTTCATTGGATTCATCATCAAGCTGTGAAAGGGAYTTTATCACAGAAAGTAGTTCTAATCAAAAACCTTCWGTTCCGGGAAATTGCATTGAACCATCAAGTAGATCTACTGGTAATACGATTGCGACCAACAAAAGGGTGCATAGCAACTCAGAAAGAAATGGCAACCAAGATGATCACAAGAGTTGTTCAGATGTAAATGGCAGTTGTCATGGTGATGATGCTATTTTGAGTGACAGTTGCCATGGTGATGATGCYATTTTGATTGACAGTCAGGACTACGGTGAGGATGATGATGATGACAATGATGATAATAATATCATAGTTCATGATGAAGATAATGATGCCACTAATTTTGAAAAATTCAAATCAAGACTTAATAGCATCAAGCAAAGATATCCCACATCAGATCCTCTTGATAGCAATGATAATGACGTAATTGACAGTTGCCATGGTGATGATGCCATATTGATTGACAGTCAAGATTTCAATGATGATGATATTGATGATTCAAATGATGACATAAGGATATCTTCTTCATGTGATTCAAAAAGTCAAACCAATTCAGAGGACAGTGGTTATCAGAAGGGACACAGGAAACCCAAAACTGTCAAAAGTCCTGACACTGGTTTGTCATTCAGACAAAAAGCTGAGGCCATTGCTAGAGGAAAGGTTTGTCTAACAGCCCCTTTACTAAAAGTTGATTGATTGATGATTAATCATACTCGTTTGTTCATTTGTTTCTTTATCAATTCATCTATTTTTTATTTGCCTAATAAGTTTTTGTATCCCTTTGCAAATAGCTCTGAATATTGTCTTGTTTTATTATTTAATAAAGGCATTAAAAAAAGTTCTTGTATCTCCTAATTTACAGTTAGTGTTTATTTAATTTGCTAGTTATACCTGGTATTTGTCTGTTTTCTTATTTATTTACCCATTCATTATTCATTTCTTATTCATTCATTTCCTCCTTATTTTTATTTATTCAAGTATGTATTATTGATAAGAATTGTTATTTTTTACTGTCCCAGGTTTCCATGATGTCACTTGCAAGAAGTAAAGAAAGCAGTCCAAGGCAAAGACCAGACAAAAGAGGCTTTGATGGTAAAGCCAAAATTAACAAGAACACAACCAGTCCAACAAGAAGTCCAAGAAATGCTTTCAGTTCAACTTCAAAATCAACAATAAGTTCACTAACATCTCACACAACATCACCTTTATCATCCAGCTACAGGGATGATTTCTCAGCCAGCAAAAAAGCAAGAAGAACAAGTGATGAAACCTTAGTGTTTCCTTCATCCAATTCATCAAAAACAGTTTCTAGCTCTTCAAGAAATTCAAGAAATGACCTTAGAAAAAGTCCAGAGACTTTCTATAATTCTTCAACTAATAATATTTCAAGAAACAGCTCAGAAACGTCAAATTTACCATCAAGTTTTTCAAAAAATTGTTCTAAATCCTCAGAAACCAGTAATGAAAACCTAGTGAGCAGGAAAACTGGAAAAACCTGTAATGCAAGCTTGGTTTTTCCTTCATCAAGTCCAAGTCCCAAACCTACCCAATCAACCCGCATGTCCAGTTACGATGACATCATAATGATTGACAGCCAAGATGATTACCAGGAAGTAGATAGTGCCACAGACTATGAAATAGCTCGGCAATTACAAGAGGAGTTGAACAATGAAGCTAAAGATTATCAAAATAAAGGCAACCATGCTTCGTCAACAAAAACATTAGACTCCAGTAATAAGACTGATTCAAATAGAGGTTCATTGGTCTTCCCGAGATCCTCACAAACTACATCTACCAGTAATAAGAGAGATGCCAGTGCAGGCTTTACATTTCCAGCAAGTTCATCATGCCCAAGCAGTTCAAGGTATGCACAGTGTTTGTTTATAAATGGGATTCCTGTGCTAAATCAGTATCCCCACAGGAAGCCCAAATAGCATCATTTTGTATGTCTGAATATCTTTTAACAATAAAGTTCTGCGATAAGACATTTCTGTTGACAAAATTTTTAAAATTTTTACACGACGTTTCAACGTTATCAAACATCATTATCAAAGTGAGATAAAAAGTAAAAGTAAGCCAGATATATATACAAGAATAATAATGAGTAAAAAATTATAATAAGAATAAGGTTAAAACAATGATAATTTAATGAATAAAAGAAAGAAAAAAAAATGATAAAAAATTTTGTCAACAGAAATGTCTCTTCGCAGAACTTTATTGTTGAATGTTTTTCTAATACTCTACTTAACGAATGAATATCTTTTGTGACTGTTTTTAGGT